GCGGCGCGCTGCCCGCCGCGCCGCCCCAGGGCCCGGGGCGCGGCGGCAGGCCGGTCGACCAGGCCGGGCTGCTGCCGTAGCCGGGGCTGCTCGCGCCCGACAGCGCGGCGGCGGCGGCGGCCATGTCGCGCGCGGCCGCCAGGTCGTCGTCCGAGTAGCACGACGCCGGGAAGTTGGTCACCTGGGCGGTGGTCGGCCGCGGCAGGTGGTCGGTGGTTGGCCAGGGCGGGTGGATGCGGAAGCAGGCCTGATAGCTCCCGGCCGCGCGCGTTCGCCAACAAGCTTGGCAGCTCTCACCCCAAGGTCCCAGCCGAACGCTCACAGCCGTCGCACGCGGCTGCCCAAAGAACCGCCCAGCCCCAAAGCACAGCCTAGAACCATGGAGCGGCGGCCCGGCACACCCACCGCCTTGCCGCCGCGGATCTCGAGCGCCGCGCGGTCGTACGCGCGCGCCGCCTCCTCAGCGGTGTCAAACGTCCCCAGCCACAGCCTGCTGCCGCACCGCGGGTCCCGGATCTCCGCCGCGAATTTGCCCCACGGCCGCTGCCGCACGCCGCGGAACTTGCACGCGCCGTTGCGCCCGTGGCCGCCGGCGCCGCCGGCGCCGGCACTGAGCTTCAGCCGCTCGGACGCGCCGAGGCTGCTGCTGAGCTTGCTGCGGCCGCGGATGTGGCTCTTGACGCCGGGGCTGCTGCCGGGCTGCGACGACGGCGATGTTCCGAGGCCGGCAAAGCCCGTGCCGGGGACGCTGCAGGGCTGGCCCCAGGACCCAATGGGGAATGCGTGGCCGCCAGGGCAGCTGAACGACAGGTGGCTGTCGCTGGGGCTCGTGCCCATCATCGCGCTGAGCGGCGCGCCCATCGCGAGCGCCTTGGCGCTGGGCGTCGGCTGGCGCTTGCCGGCCGCGCGGGGCGCGGACACCGCGGCGGCGGCGGCGTTGCTCGCCTCGCCGGCGTCGTCGTCCTCAAACAACATTTCGTCGTCGCCGCCGCCGCCGCCGCCGTCGGCGGCGGAGGCCGTCGCAAAGTCTGCGGCGCTATGGCCACCGCCCGCCACCGCGCCGCCACCGCCCCCCTCGGGCGCTAGCACGCCGAGCGCGCGCGCGAGCGCCTGCTGCTGCTGCAGCTGCGCGAGGGCCTGCTGCAGCAGCTGCTGCTGCATCGTGTCGCGCGGGCGCGCGGCGTCCTGCCTGAAAGCGTCTGCGGCGGCCGCCGTCGCGGCCGCCACCGCCGCCGCGGTGGCCGCCTCGGCCGCAGCGCGCGCGGCCTTGGTGCCGGGGCTGGGAGACGCGTCCAGGCCGCTGAGAACGTCAGGGTCGGTCTTTGGCAGCACCAGCGGCGCCACCTGGGGCAATGTGCATGCCCCCAGCCCCGCGGGCCCGCTGCCAGCCGGCGCCGCGCCCGCGGCGGCGGCCATGAGCTGCTGTGTCAGGTGCTGGTTTAGCCTCAGGAGCGTGGCGCCGTCCAGTGGGGTGCCAATCGGCGTGACCGCGGGCGTGCCCGCGCCCAGCGAGCCAGGCTGCAGGCCCGGCAGTGACCCCGGGAACCCCGGTATGAACGCCCCTGGCAGCACTGCAGTCGCGTGTGGTGGTTGAAAGGCCGGGAGTGTAAGGGCTGCAAGCGTCGCGGCATCCCAAAAGGCGCCTCGCGCAGATGCTCAGTGTGCACGCCAGTCTGGCATGACGCCGCCGAGCTGGCAGCGCCTTGCTCCCCCCTGCCAACTGCCGCGCCGTTCTCGACCGCCCCTCCGGGCCCGCTCACTTGGCATTGGCGTCAGCTGGAATGGGAGGCCGGCTGACCCGGTTGCGAGCGGCTGTATGCCGAGCTGCAGCGGCTTGGCCGCCGGCAGCTCGGTGTGAGTCGACATCCCAACACTGCGCCGTTGGACCTCCACGGGCCCTGTGCGTCCTGTTGGCAGGGTGCGCGGAACCAATGATTCCATGAAGCGTTGTTGAGCAATCTGCAACCGGAGGTCGCCACATGGCTGCCACGGGGCGTCCACGAATCCAAGATCATTACGCGTTGGCCCGCCCCGAAAGTCCAATTCCGGCGGCCTGTCACTGAATGAGGGCCACTACCCCCCGTTCTGATCCTTTCCAAAGTCCACAGGGTTGGAAGCGCTGTTCCGCCAGGGACTCCCCCACATTGAATCATCTGCACACCACACACGGGGACGCAGCCGGCGGCAAGCATCCCCGAAAGACTGCGAGGGGCCAAGCCATAAACCTGCCGGGCCGAACGGGCGCCGAAGAGCACAAAACATCATGCCCCGCGCGGCTCACTGGCCACGACGCACGTGCGCCCATTACATTTCATGAATAAAAATACTCACAAATCGGATGGCCCTGGATGCTTTCCCGGCGTCCCGCTCCAATCGTGGATGGCTCCTCCACGCGCAGGTAGCCCTGAGCTGAGGTGGCGGCGTATTTCTGAAAAAGGTATAGCTAATAGAGGCTCAATGAATGGTACGGGATCTCGAGCACCTCAGGCAAAGTGGACACCACGCTGCAGGCCGCTTCCCTTCGATTGTACCAGCACTCCCGACATACTCTCTGCCATACACACGTGCATAAGATTGTAGGCGTGCCGATTTGAATTGTTGCTCGCTGCCATGACCTTGCCTATCATCCAGCATCCAGCCCGTGGGCGCCCAACACCCACCCTGGCACGCACGCTTGGCACGGCGACCGTGCATACGCGATCCCGTCCCTTTGATGCCTGCCATTGCCCCCCAAGTATTGGTAAAGGGTACCCCCATGCGCCTTTTCGCAACGGCGCAACTGCCAAGGCATCGTAGAGAAAAGGCCAGGCGTTACTGGGAACATCAGTCCTGGCGTAAAATCTTCCAGGTATCCATCAGTGGGTACACCTCCACATGCTGGCAGCAACGTCAAAAATCACGCGCTCGCACGCATGTGATGTAGCGTGGTGGATCAGGGAGGCATATGAGAGCATAGATGTGCCGATGGTGCGAGCTCATAAACCCAGCAGCTTCGCCGTCAGCAGGCCCATGCTGGCTCGCCTCGGCGCACAGAGCACAGGTGGTGCACCGACACCTGCCGGTGCCCCAGGAACGCAGTGACGACGCCGCAGCATCGGCGACACGCGCACCTGTGCGCGCGCCTGCCTGTCCAGGTCGCCGAGGAGCGTGCACTGGCCGCACCTCCCAGAGGCAAACCGCTGCGCAGGTGCTTGCCGCTCAGGTGCTTGCTGGGGCTCCGTGGCGGTCGACCTCAGGCCCCTGCGCCTCTCACGCCTCCTCCTCTGGCTCCTCCTCGACGGCGGGCAGGTCGTCCTCTGCGCACTCAAAACCCCACGAAGCAACGGACCGGCAACGCGCGGGTGAAGGGGCGGTCGCTGTGGTTCCCACGACGACAGCCCACACCAGCCCGCTAAATCCACGCCGCCACGGCAGCCAGTGGCAGGAAATCGCCAAAAAGCCCCCCTCCCACCAAGTACAGCGGCGCTGCGGGCCCGCCCACCTATGTTTCCATCCAACAACAGGCCGACTGACACCAGCTGCAGCTCGTGCGCGATGTTGGCGCGTGCCTGCTGCTCCAGCGACTTGCCCACGTCGGTCGCGAACAGCTGCTCCCGCTCCAGCAATGAGCGCAGGAACTTGGCCCTGGTGGACCCGAGGGTGGCACTGGGGCTCAAAGCGGGGTGGTTGCGGCGGGTGAGCGCAGCGAACCACACAGTCCCCTGCAAGCTGCTCAGCTGCCCTGCTTAAGAATCCCCCGTCCCTCGCCTTCTTGGTGCCGATGCGCACAGGCGCACGCACGGGCAGCCTCGGCCCCCTCACCTGCCCTGCGTGTACTCCTCGTCTGACAGGTGGCCGTACTCGCGCCGCACGCCCGCCGCGTACTGCGCGTACCGCTGCAGCGGCGCACCCAGCACGCACATGTCCGCGTCCACCACCACGTGCTCGTCCCGGTCAGCGCTGTGCAGGTGTGTCTTGGTCGCGAGGATGTAGGCCGCCACGCGCGCGACCGAGGCGGCCGGCAGGCCGGCGTCGGACAGGACGCGCGCGGCCACCTGCGCCGACTGCTCCTCATTGTCGGGGGCCCTGTGCGGGGTGCGAGCGTGCGCACGCGCGCCGCACGGCAGACTTTCTGGCTGCTGGACAGGGGCTTGGTGGGCGCACTCTGCACAGCTTTGCAAGTTGCGGCTGCGGCGCTTGAGACGCTGCGGCCCCGCGGTGCGCGGCAGGGTGCGAGGCGGTCGGCGGGCATGCGGCAGACCAGAGGGCGGGTCAGGGGGCCTCACTTTGCGTCGTACACAAGGTCATGAAACCACAGGGCCCACTCCACCGCCGGCTGGTCGTTGATCTGGCGCCCTGACTGCATGCACTGCGGCAC